TCAACTGCAATCTCCCAATCAGCTTTTGCAGGTGCATGAGGGTGTTCAAAAGGTTGTTGAATACACTCCCACATAGAATTTTGATGCTCTAGTCATGATGGATAAAAAATTGAGTAGGAATCACACATAGGTCTCTGAAAATTGTTCCTCATATTATTATGGTGTTGTACAAACTCTGGAAAATATTGTCGTCGGGGACAATACGTAACATCATGAGTATTCAAATTGCAAATTGCACAAACTGTGGGTGCTCCTTACGAGGATCCAAACCAATCCATTGTTGATTGGCTTTCAAAATCAACAAATTGTTACCAAAAACAATCATCAGCAACGGCGCCCATTTCTTGATAGGGATTTTACCACCTGCAAAAGTAGGGATAAAAACACTAAAATACTTGCAAGAGTACAAGGTAATTGTAGTATAGATGGCTTTAGCAAGGTCATTCTCTATAAGGATTGAATGAATAATTTATGTTAAATCAAATCTTAATTATTTATTTAAAACAAAGTTTGAGAAAAAGTTGATTTTATGATTTAAAATAATAAAAACGAATTTAATAGAAAATAATTAAATAAAGTGCCAAAATAAAATAAACTAAAAGAAAATAGTTTTTGAAAATTAAAATGGTAAAAGCCTAGGGTTCCGCCGTCACTTTAACAATCCTATGTAGTTCTTTCAATTACTTATGAATTACCCATGCATATGTTTGAAGGTTAGGTTTTCCTAATATATATCCTACTTGGAACCTCCAACATAGAACGTATATCTAACATGCAACCCGTCCGGACGTTTGAATCAAATATGAACATGAAAGACTCATTATGCTTTATGAAAACCCTTTGAAAAACCATGTAACCCTTAAGACGTGGTGTTCATCCTAAGTGAAATTACAATTATTAACCACAAGAAGCCAATGCCAATTTTAGGGAACCTTCCGACTAAAATTGCATCAAATTACTTTTCTAAATATCCTAATGGTCGCGAATCACTAAGACACTCAGATAGTTTAAAACGGTGATTAATAATTCAAAACATGCATATATAATATCATAAGTAAATTGAAAAGAAACTTGTGGTCGCGCCCTAGCAAACGGAATTTAGTTACTGGCAATCATACAATGAAATATTATTAAAAATAATGATAGAAAACACATTGAAAATAAACTTGAATCCAAAAGCTCTCTAAAGTGTGCGTGCGTTTTCTCCCCTCTTTAAACCTAATGGCTAAAAAACCTTATTTACACTACTACAAAATAAAATCCTTCCTAGAAAAGGTCTTAGAATAAGTTAGGAAACATAACAAAATAATAAAACAGAAAAAAAAAAAAAGGTTTCCTATTTAAACTAAAATTCGGACTTCTCAGAAAATCACACTTTTGACCAACCAAATCAACTCCGATTTGGTCCAAAAATGTCTCTTTTTAAAGCTGAAGACGTCCCCTACAAATGCTCAGAAGTAATCGTACTCAAAATATGCCATCTTGACCTCCAAAATACCCAAAACATCTAGAAATGTCAATATGGGAAAACTGCGCGCTGAGCCTTTATTTCATCGGCACGGTCAAACGGCATGGTAGAAAAATCTAGAATTTTGATACAATCATCTTGAAAGGCACACGAACATCCTGCAATTGGATTCACTCCAAAATTCATCTGTTTGATCATTGTTTGCTCCAGAGGAAGTCGAATGTCCTACATTAGAAATATAATTCAAAGTATCGAAATTCACACATAATAACCAATAAATTATTACTAGGATTATATATAGTATAATATCGACTCATCACCTAGCAATGACCTTCTTGAAGTGGATCACTTGATTATAAGCAGCAATTAACTCTTCATCCTTTGTGTAAGCAGCGGAGCGAAGCTCAGAGACGGCACACTCAAGGTCTTGTATATGAGGTATGTACCGATCTCCCTCTCTGCACTTTCATACTTAATTTGGATTGCGTCAAACCTAGTCTTCAAATCTACGATCTCTTAGCAAGCGGTCTCAAGCTGCAGAGAAGTTGGGGCAAAGATATTAGACCCCTTCAAAGCGGCAAGCTTAGATTCCAACCTCTTGATCTTCTCGGCCGAGGAATAGGCTTCGGCTGCCATATTCTTTGCCACCCCCTTGGCAGCCTTGGTATTCACTTGATCAATGAGCATAAACTCGACTGCCAGGATAGTCGTTTTCTGCATCATAGCAAGCAGAGCAATCTTCCTATACTTGGTGGTATGCTATGCAAAGGAACTTGGCAGACAACCCCTTTAACGCCATCAACAAACTTGGCACACGCATCGATGTCTTCAAGCAGACTTGGTTTCAAAAGTGCACAAATCTCAGCAGCTTCCTCGAAAACAAGCTTGGTGGATTTTCTCACAACTGCCCACACGAGCAGCCTCCTTCTTCTCAACAGGCGAATCAATCTCAGTAGCAAAAGGAGTGGGTTTTGGTGGCATTTTAGTAACAGAGTCCACCTTTTCGCTCTTCATAGTAGCAAGTCTCTTCAAGGTTAAACTAGACTTAGTCCTCGACGGACGTTTCGGTACAAACTTCGGCACTGGGGGCACAGGTAAGCTTCTACGTTGAGCAATCCTATCAATAATCAAACTAACCACATTTGGAACGGTAGGTGTCACAAGCACGAATCTAGCAGCATCATCTTTCTCACCATTGGAAGAAGTCAAGTTAATCACAAGCTTGGGGGTAGCCGGCGAGCCCTTGCGAGCAGGAAAGAAGTTTTTGGCTTTTTCTCAGTTGGCATCTCTTGAGCAGGCGGAGAATATCTCTTTTTCCCACCTTTATTTGCAGCAGGCTCCACGACAATAATTGGACAAGCTAATGCCTCCGCCTTGATCCGTTTTATCTCATCTCTTGGGGGCAGCCCACATTTCTCCTAGCAAAGAGGACTAAGCAGCCAACACCACTCACGGTACTCAGAAAGGATACTTAGTGCAACATGCAATTTCTTCATATCTGGGGAAGTTTTAGAAGTTAAGCCGAATTCTGAATCTACAAGAGTAGAGGAAGACAATTAGTAAAGCAGAAGAGGGACTAGGCAGTCTACTTACCAAAAATGAAAACCGTCGAAACGTGCAGCTCAGGGAAAGAATTAGACTCCCATTCTCCACTTATCTCTAAAGTCTCATTGGCCTAGTCATGATCTCCCTTCCTCGAGTGGTCAAAGAATCTATGGCGAGAGCACAACTGCCCAACTCCCTCGATGTGGTCTATGTCGAAGAAGTACCAAAAATCGTTGACAGATAAATCCAAGTCAAAGAATTGGCTTAGATTGAGGAACCCTACCATCACACGGACAACATTGGGAGAACTTTGAGCGAGGGCACACTTCATAGAGCAAATCATCTCTTGGAATAAACGTGACATGGGAGAAGTAAATCCCAACACAAAGTAATAGGGGAGGAACTTGATGGCTCTTCGAGCTCCGCTGCATGGTTCAAGACTGCTACTTTCCTTGACACGCTTCACACACACCCCCGATGGAATGACATGCCTATATGCTTCAAGGAAGTCTCTAAACGAGTCGTCGGAGCTAATTTTGAAGTGAGCAACATTGAAATAGCCCACCTTACTTAAAGACCTGCCTTGGCGATACAATGACGGTACACCATCGTCCCCCTTATGGCTTAAAGAAGACATGCTCGAAGAAATTCTACAAAGGCACAAAGAAAATTGATTAGACGATTGGGCAAAGAAAAAAAGGAATGCACTAGGGCCTTACAGCCCAAAGATCAAGTCACGTCCAAGATCCAGGAGCCTAGCAGCCTTGCTAGGCCCCCACAACCTGGTCCATCCCACTCAACCCAAGACAGCAAAGAAAATGGCAAGTGCCCCACGCCTCCTATGGTCTCACATGCGGACAGACCAAGCATAAGGGGCCCAAAAGTCTCTCTCTCTTCCTCCTATATTAGTACGGGCCCGAGTGCAGCATTCAAAAAAAAAAAAAAAAAAAGAAAAAGAGGCCCACTCCTCCTCAGCCCAACCACCACCCTGGCACGGGCCCAAGCCTAGTGGCCCATTCCAAACAGAGAGGGGACTGGCGCCCCCGCGCCTCCCTCTCTTTTCCCGCACGAGCCCAAGCCTAGTGGCCCAGACCACAACACCCGTTAACTCAACCCCAGCCTAGCCGCACCTGGCCCAACCAGCCATTACCGGGCCAAGCAGCCCCATGGCAACAACCATGTTGTGGCATCCCAGCCAATTTTTCACACATTCTCAACCCCCGTGGAGCCAAATTTCAAGCCCCTAGGCTCCCAAATATTACAAAGACAAGGAAAAAATAATCAAGAAAATTATAGAGGCGACACGTGGACTTTTGGTGTAAAAAGACAAAATTACCCTTGAGGCACATTGGGATTCCCATGGGCATGCAACGGACAATAATGACTCAATCAAGGTCAAAGGTGATCAAAATGGTATTCTTTTAAACCCTTTCATCATTTCTCATCAAATTTTCACCCACAAGGTAACTCCCAATTATCCTTTTCAAATTGGGATTAATTACCAAAATTAATTGACTAATTTCCTAATTGATTGCAATATATTATTTGACATAATATCTTGCAATTAGAGTAAAAAAAACCACCATAAGTGGCCAGTCCCCATTTCTCCAAATAGGCCCAGCCACACCCCTTATATATAGCCCCTCATTTCTTGAAAAAAAACCTAAGTCCAATTCTCTTCTAAAATCTCTAAATTTCTCTAAACACTTCTCCCACAAATTCTAATTATGGTATCGGAGATTCTTCGGCCAAAACCCTCCCCCATTCATCATGGGCGCGTGAGGCTTTTGACCTTGATCTTAGGTGTTAATTGTTTTGCAAGTGCATTTTCATCCAAGAAAAAGAAGGCGAAAATTTGCACCCACAGTACCAATTATATTGACCGTTTTAAGACGGTCACCAAGAGATTAATTGTTGACATCTGGTTTTGTGTTGCTAATTAGGTGATGACAGGGTTTTGTAGTTAGTATTTTGGGCTTCAATCTGCTTTACGCGAAAAGCTAAGTACAAATACTACAAAGAAACAGTACAAGTAACAAGCTCAAAGGACAACAGATTATATATGTAACTTATCTATTAAACAATGACAGATATTGTTTTACCCATCAATAATTCACAATGAAGAAGAGTTGAACGCGCAACTCTCTCCATAAAAAAGTACTCTTCTTCCTTAGTTCATTTTGCGGCAATTTGTTCTTATTTCTCCTTTGGAACCTTCCTTGACATCAAGGGTGCTCATTTTCACCATTGCCTGTTGAAAATCTAAGAAGAACATGGCTTGGTTGAAGGCATAACCATTTACAATGTTTCTAGTTTTTGCACTGGCAAATAGGGTTTGATCAGAACTCAGGACTCCAGCCTTCCTTTGCAGTCCGTTGAAGTAGACATTATCAAAATTGTTTCTCGTTGCATCGAAGGGTTGCTCGGCATTATCGCCTGCGCTGCATGTTTTGGTCAGTTGCTTTGCAAAACCTGAATCTAAATCTGGGTCCACATTATCACTCAATCGGTTTTGAACGACGAGCACCTGGCTACACCTAGTGTGTGAGCACCTACAAAGTACCGAAAATTTCAACGTAAGTATACAAGCATTAAACTTAAATATTCTCTAAAATGACAATCTGACCGTCAATTTGAACTATTAATTGGGTAGAAATTGAAAGACACTATTGGTGAAATAACATTTTAACTAATCCAAAAAAGAAAAAGAAAAACGGACCAATTGACAATTTAACAATATAACATATCAAGAAAATAACACCGAAACTTGTAGATTGTAAATTGGATCATATATGTGTACCAGATAAAGCAACCATTTCTTGAGCACTAAATCCATGTTGCCCAAACATTGTAATGAGCTCAGAGGCATTCAAAGTGGGTGGAGGCAGATTCCTTGTGTCTTCTATTTTAGACCTCCTTCCATCCTTTCTTCCTTTGGGTATGTCATAAACCGGGCCCCCAGCCTGTTGTTAGTTAAGTCCCATTAAACAAAACTTAAATTTAATCATTTTTTTTAAATATTAGGATTTTTATCACAAATGGTGTTTTATGTAAATACATTTTGGTCTTGTATGTTTTGAATCAACCAATCAATTGTGGTCTTTTAGCGTTCTTTTTACAAATGGTCTTTGTGTGTTTGAAAACGTGGACGATGATATTGATTGATTCAAACATAAAAGACCAAAATTATGTATTTGCAACACATAAAGACCATTTGTAATAACAACCTAAAATAATAATAACTAGCATTTGCCTACACATTTTGTGTGTACGAACACATTTTTTTAGAACATGAGAAAGAGAGAGGGAGAGAGAAAGAGAGAACGTGGGGGGTGGAAGGATTTTTTTTTTAAAATATTAAAGATATTTTAACATCACCTGTAGGTGAGGTTTCAACAAAAAAAAAGTAAAATTTGGATCTGTGAAATTATATTATTGCCCATCATTTTTTTTTTGTGTGTGATAAAAGACTAAATTGTCTTTTCATCCTCTTTTGGTTGATAAAGAGAATTTCATTAATTAATGATGATGATGACGATGATGATGATAATAATAATAATAATAAATTGAGGAATATGCATGAATAACATAGTGCAATTGAGAATGAGAGGTGACTTTCTTCTATACACTTAATATATATATACTTTTATACTCCTTGTTAGTCTTTAGATCTATTTGAATCCAATGATCCTAAATAAAACTAATATGACTCATCTAAACTACTAAATGATGTGGAGTTGATGACATGGAAATAAAAAGGCTTTAATCAATTAAAAAAATTTAAGAAAAAATTATTAGGTTATGGAAACTTAAACACTTCGAAGCCTCCATCTTCATCTAACTCCCTATGCCATTGTTAATTAAGATGACAAGAACTTAATCATGGATATATCAATCTCGCTCCATACAACCTAACTGACTTTTTCACTTTCCTCTTCCTATTCTCTCCCCTCTCTCAAATCCTACATTATCAATACTATATTTTCATGGGTTGTCTGTAAATGATGGGAAGGTATAAAAAGTGGGCTGAAGAAGATAGATTCAGAACTCTCGCCCTGTTAAATTAATTTTTTCTTTTTCTGTTTGGTTCAATCACTGAAGATCCCCCAGTTTCTTAGCCCAGAATTTGAGTCTGGATATAGCCAGGGAAAAAATATTGAATCTTCCTGGAAAGGGATGAGGTTTTAACCCTAAAACTGATTTACATCAAATTTCTTAAGTATGTCCTTGATTGACAAGAAAGCTTTTTAGTGGCTGGTTAATCCATAATATAAACAAAAGAACTAATCAGACTCAGCAACAATTTTTATTTGATGCACAACACAATGGCATGAAGGAAGATGGTGTTCGCCAAGGAAGATGAATGGTTTAGGTGCAACAGGACTCTTTTCAAAGTAGTTTAAATTTGTAGTAGAGATTTATGTTAATTTATTCAAAGTCATCGCCACATCACCTACTTACCGCAAAAACTGCATATGTAGAAGCCATTGCAACTATGTCGGCGCAAGAGACCACGCCAGGGCATTTTTTTTCAAGTTCCGCTTTTGCAGCATCTATAACTTCATAGCCACGCAAGCTCAAATTTGCTGGAGAGTCCTTCTCTGCTGTGTTATCTTTTGTTGAATCCAGGAGAATTGACGCATCACATCCCTAATTATCCAATAGTTACAAAACCAAAATTCTAATATTAATTAATAACGAATGTATGTAGTGATCGAATCCCTAACAAAGTTTCTTTAACGTGAATACTTGACCATACACAAGGAAAAAAAAAATATTTTTCTATTTAGGTGGGTGTGTAACGTGTGATGATATGCTGATTGAAAAGTGCATGATATGTGAATAACAAGGGAACGAGTGAAGATGTAACACATAGCACTTCTTACAAACAACAAAAAAGAAAAGGTCAGGGTTTTTTTATAATCATTTCGTTTCTAATTTCATATGCACTTCATCTTGTCTACTTCTTTCATATATTTCCAAGTACAAAAAGCTACGTAAAAATTACAAACTAAAGCCGAAATCATGGTAAACAGCTTTAAGATACCAAATGGAAGGACTTATTTGAAAATATCTTTGGTACGTAATAGCAACTGAAAACACAAACACGAAAGCACTGTGAATATGTATGTATGCATTATTTAATACCATGCAGATATATTTGCTTAGTGATCTCGCCACACCAAGCCTATCGTTGTGCCTACCTAAAAATTTTAAATAATGAGAAAGGAGGTATTGCTGTTGTGTGTTTACACACACAGAGAGAGAGAGAGAGAGCACCTCTATGAAGCAGTCATGGAAGTGCATTCTGATTAGACCTGCAGCTAAGGTTGGATCAGCTTGCAAGGCCCTGGTGACTGTATTTCTCACAATAAGTTCAGCCATCGGGCAGCTCATAATGTAATAGCCCATACTCAAACCCTTTGCTCGAAATACGAAGCCACTCATCATTTGCAATAGTAGAAACACTACAAACAGCTTAGCAATAACCATCTTCGATAAATCTAAAGGGAAGATCTTGAATTCAAATACTGGTGAGAGGAAATAACTAACAAGGTATATAATAGAAGGCTCAAGAAAGGAGGAGTAATTGTTAGAATGAAGAGTGAAGGCAATGTGGATTTATATAGGTGTAATTTAATGCTTAAACAAAAGTTGCCGCCCCAAACTAAACGGAAAAAACAAAAAGTTGAAGGGACAGTGCTTTATGATCAATACTAATTAAATTACTCTTCTAATTTATAAGGAGGGGATCTAAAGTTGGGAATAAAAGAAGATATACACTACTATGATCAATTGGTCTAATTCACAATTGTAAAGATACCAACCCAATATTAGAGGAAAAAGACAAGTTGAAGACGACAGTGGTTTATGATCAATTTTAAACTACTCTTTTAATTTATAAGTGGATCCAAAGTTGGGTGTAAAAGAAGAGACACACTGCTCTAACCAATTGGTCTAATTTGCCTCTGCAAAGTAGACACCCCAATTTTAGAAGAAAAAAAGATAAGTTGAAGATGAAAATGGTTTATGATCAATTATGCACCTAATCAATCTAATGGTCAAATCCAATACAAGAATTTTAATATAATTAATGCATGCTAATTGCAAATAGTTCCACTCGTAAATAATGCACCATGGGGCACTAAACCAATATTATAGCCAAATCATGCATGCAAGTAGTTGCCACGCTGAAATCGAAAGACGATAAAGATCACACAACAAATTGAAATGCGGTTAATTAATAATCATATCTAAAAACATATGAGGTTAATTCTAAGAGTTGTTTTGTGAATGGATTAGTATAACTATGGGGTGGGCATGGAAGTCAAATGTCAAAACGAAAGTGCGGAGGTGAAGTGTATGCACTATATATATATATGTAGGCCACGACCAGAAAACATCATGTACAGGCATGTATATATGTAGATCAGCTGGCTTCCATTGCAAAAGGAGCCTACCTACTCTCAGGGTCCATGTCTTTTTGTGAGAAGTGGGGGGGAAGACTCTTTTTTTTTTTTGGAAGACATATTGAGTGGGGGGGGAAGACTTATTTGGCCCAAGAAGATATCAATTTACGCGTGCAGATCAGCAGGTTAACATCAGTGTCATAACATGTTCAATTCATTTGGTTGTGGTACCATACTCTATACATGTGTGGAGATGGGGATTTGCTTTTACTTCAAGGAAGTGATATGTGTTAAAAACTTGATTATTGGGTACTTTTATATCATATATACTACTCATCTCTATTCATGAGATATAGAGAGAGATACAAAGGTTATACTACAAAGTCAACAAACATATTTTTAATTAATTGCATGCTAATTGCCAACTTCAACTTGCAAAATTAGTTGTAAACCCCCTATAGAAATAACCTCAACCACTCTCCAAACCATGGATAACTAATAAAGGGTTCCAAAAAAAAAAAAACTTAAGTATGGGGACGGTCACATTTTAGCCCTTTAGGGGCTTTAGCCCCTAAAATAAACCCATTTGCAAAATGCTCTTTGGTTGGAGATTGTTTTGTTCAAGTTTTGGAGCTAATATTGGCCAAATGCACTTGATTAGAGATGCCATTAGCAACTATATCTTCCGGTTCGTATTCAATCTTTACAAATAGAAAACTGATTTTCCAAGAAACTAGGTTGCCTTCGACAAGCGTTAAGTATGGACATGTAGGCTTTCTGTCAGCAATAGATATAGCTTAGTCATCGTCAGTTATACCCTTCCAATGTTAAGTGAACATTAATCTCTTTCTGGGAGCAAAGTGCCAGTGACTCCTAGTATGAATTACAACAATCGATCATATACGATCTTCAGTTCATGCATGCATCAATTGATTTACTACAATTCAAACATAGTTAATATATGTTCAAGTAAGCAATAAATAAGTTCCAAAATTCGCCGATATAGCTCCTTACTATTGGTTGGAACCTGATAGGTAATCACTTAGCTTGTGATTTTGTATAATAGATGTATCAGCCCATTTGCAGCAAACATCTATGTCTCGATCAACAAGCATCCATGTCTCGATCAACAAACCTAATAATACATATATACATTCTTTGAAAATTAAAAATCATTTTGTCTTGATTAGGAAATTAACTTCAGTCTCTAACACGCAAGTAGGTCTTTCTTGTCAAATTTCTTTTTGACATAGTTTTGTAGTCACTCTCTTCATCTAAATCATTGTATGTAACAACCATATCATTCACATACACAACTTAGACGTAATTTTACCATGCTTATGCTTAAAAAAAGAAAAGAAAAAAAAACAAGACATGGTCTGAGTCACTTTGTTGGTTCATAAACACAATAACTTCTTTTTATTTTTTGAGCGCAACGAAAGTTTCATTGATAATAAAAAAACAGATAACAAATCAAGAAGGCAACACACTGCCACCATCAGTACATTCCAAATGAAGAGAAGACGAAATGAAATCAGGAGGTTCCTCAAACCATGAACAAGAGGCAGTATCCATATTGAGAGCATGACTCTAAACCATGAGCAATACATTGGCTTGATGACGAGTATGGGCAACCAGAACTCCAGTGATCATGAGCAGCACCGCCTTAGAATCCTCCACAATATGACCAATCGTAGACATATCCGAAGAACTCTCGTGCAACGCTTTCATGATCTGAAGAGAATCACTCTCAATAATTAGATGATGAAGACCTCTTTCCATTGCCAACGCCACACCTTCTCTAGCCGTCAAGGCTTCCACTTGCAACGGGGAAAATACAAAGTCAAAACGCAATGCCCTAGCATCCACAAAAGCCCCTTGATCATTGCGAATGGCAACACCCACACCGCCTTATTTCCTGTCCTCGATCCAAGCATTGTAGACGTTGACTTTCAAATAACCCGGATGAGGTTTAACCCACCTACATTACAAAATAAAGTGTCATTAGTGAGGGTCAAATACCGTCGGAAAATGCATTTTGCCTTCACAAGTACTTATTTCCAACAGGAAAAGGCCCTCGCTGGGCGTCGGAAATTGTCCCATTGGAAATACTTTTGTTCCAACTAGCCGTCAGAATTAATTCATTTTCGACACACATGACTCTTTGTTAATAGTTATATTATGTCGGAATGAATGTTCAAAATGGCAAACTTATTTTATTTTCGACATGGAATTGTGGTCACAAATACTTATAGAGTTGTCGAAATTACGTTTCAAATGATGACAAATGTTTTTTGCGATTACTTTTTATCGACCAAACAATTGTGTCATAAAATCTTTTTCCAACAAAATAATCTTTATTTACGAGAGTGCACAATCATCACAATTACAATTACTGACCATACGAGGTTGTCGAAAATACATAACGGCTGAACATAAATAGGCACAAAAACATATTTGCGATGATCAAGCATCGTCGAAAATATGTACTTTCAATGGTGAAGCTTTGTTTGTAATACATATTTGCAATGGCAAGCTTCGTCAGAAATATATATATTATCGACAATGAAGCCTCGTCGAATATATATATTTGCAATGGCGAAGTTTCTTCGGTAATATATATTTATGATGGTGAAGCTTCATTGGAAATATATATTATTGACCATATTTAGTCGTCTCAAATTTTTTTCATAACCAATATTTGGTTGAAAATGGGTATTTCCTATAGGAACATCTTTGTTAGAAATGTGCACATTAACGAGAGGAATTTAAAATCGAAAACGTTATTATTGTATTTATAATTAAATTATATATTGATATTAAAATATGATAAAAATAGGTATGTGATCATTACTAATAAATTCACCAAACCATTGTATTAAATTTCTCAACATCCAAACGAAATTATTCATAAAATTATTTAAACAAGAAAATAGACAATACTTAAATTGGAAGGGAAAAAAAAAAGCAATACCCCACAAATAAAACATAACAAGTTTAGATATTTGGTAATATCAAAATAAAAGTATGATGCACTAGATCTTCATGTTGAGCATCTGACCAACTTTCATGACACACCCCGACCTAGAAAGGTCGAAGCATGCTGGCCATCACCGTGAGGTGACGTAACCATAAGGGTAAGTGATGCAAAAATTGAATAAAATTAAAACAAATTATACTAAATGATAAAAGGGAAAGAGTGCGCATTCGTGGGACGAACCCACTACAATTATTCAGAGCGTAATAGACAGTGAGACTACATAATAGTAGTCAAAGTAGTTAAAGTACACTTTGTTGATGCACAAAACCAGAGAGGTCTTGGAACAACGTAAATCTGATCGTGAATCTGCAAGAAAGTAAAGAACACAAGATGTATCATGGTTCACCCCAATGTTTAGGCTACGTTCACACTGATGTTGATATTGGCTCACTCTGAATGGTGAATATACAAGAAGCCTAGAGGTAGTGTGCTCTCTAGCCTATTTTCTCTCTAGCCCATTTTCCGTGGCCTAAGCCCTGCCCTCAATCTTGGCCTAAACTTGGCTCCCTTAATAAGGAGAGTGAGGGGTCCTTTTATAGAATAAGGGCTTCTCACTTATTACATATTTGCCCCTTCCTTTATTACATAATTACATTTGAGTCCCCCGAGTATTTATATGAGATCTAAATACGGAGGCCCTAAGTATGGTACAAACACACTTATTACACAACAGTAATAAGTTCGTACGTCCAAACAGAAGAGAAAGTCAGAACCGCCGAGATCCCTCGAGTGCCACAAAGAGTACAGCTATCTAGGTCCTGGAGGAGCGACAATGCTTATACGAAATCCTTTATTTTCGAATATACTAACCCCTCGCCGTAAAACAAGTATAGTTTCCTTGAAACGTAGGTGTGTAACCAATAAATCAACAGCATTATAGTAGTATAATAATCAGAATTATGCCAAATCATGATGTATCAAATGCCACAATAATATAATCATGTGATAATCAAGTATAGCTAAGTGCTCATCCATCTAAGCTGACATACAAGTTCAAACAGATAATTTCTGACACGAACAGGACTGAGTGTAATCAATATGCTCTAGTACTATGATCACGTGAAGACTGGTACAGAAGCATGGTTACATACAAGTCGGATTGCCTAATGCAATCTACCCAACAGGACTGGCACCTAACTTGGATCCAAGACGAGCGAACGGTGCGATGTGAACATACATGTGAAGAACTGGCCCTGGCCCTAGGGCGAGTACTAACACCATGGCAGCAAGATGAGCATGTACA